TTTTTTTTTTTTTTGGTTTTTCGAGACAGGGATTCTCTATAGCTTTGACTATTCTGGAACTCACACTCTGTAGACCAGGCTGGCCTAGAACTCACAGAGAGCCTCCCTCCTGCCTCTGCCTTCCGTATGCTGGGATTTTACTACCACCACTCGGCTCAAAGACTGTATCAGTAAATTATAACTGATGGTTTGAATAAGAATGGTCCCTACGTGCTCCTGTGTTTCAAAGTTTGGTCTCCAAACTGTTTGGGAAAGAGTAGGAGGTATGGCTTTGTTCAAGGGAGTTTGTCACTGGGTTTGGGTTTTAGGGTTTGAAAAGCCCAGGACATTCAGCTTGGCTCTCTCTGTGCCTTGTACTTGTGGATCAAGTGTGAGCTCTCAGTTACTCTCCAGCAGCAACCCTTGCCTGCTGCATGCTGGCTACCATGGTGGTCATGGACTTTACGACCCTCTGAAAACATAGCCCTCAACTAAATGCTTTGCCTTGGTCATAGTGACTCTTCACAGCAGAAGAGGAGTAACTAAGGCAATAAGGACATGTTATTTCTTTTAAAAATAAATGAAATCATATGCAGAAATGGTTGATTCTATTAATGCTTACTACCTGATAAGGTAGTAAGTACCCGTGGCATCTACGTAACGCCTTGCACATGGTAAAGAACCATTTGCAGCAAGGGTAACTGATTCTTTTTACGGCTCTCAGCAATATCCAAAGTCAAACTGTTTTATTGGAATTATAATTATAAAATGCTTCAATTTCTCTAATTCTTGTAAAGAAAGTATTCATTGGGGAAAATAACCCCAATAATCATTTTCCTAGCAACTTACTCCATAATTACCAGGTTCTATACTGAAATATTAGCTGCCCGTATCCCAAAGCACTAAGGGATTATGGATACGTACATACAAACACACATGCATAACAGAATGATGCTCCCAGGAAGCAGGTATATGAAGGAGGGAAACAGAGCATAGACTGCTTCAGAAAGAGCCAAAGATGACTTCTACTTGGGAAGGAAGATGTGTTGGGAAAGGCAGGAGGTAGACCAGATATTGAGTGTATATAGACAGGGAAAACTGTCAGTGAGATATAAAAACATGTAGATTTACAATCAGACCATATATGGAATATGAATAGAATTTAAAGTCTTTTACTTAAGGGTTTTTTGTTTTGTTTTGTTTCTTATTTGGCTGGGAGTCAAGCCCAGGACCTGAGACATGCTGACCAAGCACGGCACCATTAAACTTCCCAGTTCAAGGTTTTTGAAACGTTAGGTAAATGTTTTGGATATTCATTTATTTGGAGGCTAAATAAAACTGAAGTAATCAAACAACTACATAGTGTGTTGCAAAATCAGACAATAAATACATAACCCAATCTTCATATTACAATGGCCTAAAACCATGACCATCCTTAGGAAAAACAGCTGTGCCTTCACAAGCGTGAGCTATAACTTCTCTAAAAACAGGACCAGGGACTACATGACCTCAACCTCCCTTGCCACTCAACCCTGCCTTCCTCTACTCTAACCCAAGCTCACTAGCCAATAAACAATAGCAACCCAAGTAACTCACCTTGACCAGAAGCCAAAGGATTTAAAGGCCTTTGAATTGTCTGCGGTCTGCAAACAAAAGAATTGTACTGTATGAACACCAGCGTTACCAACAATATTATAATTATATCTGATTTAGAAAGTGAAACGTTTTATCATGCAGAAGTTTTATCCCTGAGAGAATCACACATGTGCATGCACACAGAATTGCACGCGCTTAAACACTCAAATGCACACACAGGTTTTTACCAAAAATTAGCTAGTACATTCTTTAGAGCCTTCAAGTTTCCAAGTGAAGAACCTTAAGCATTTCTCACTCACCCAGCGATCAATGTCCATTGCACTGGTTAAGAGAACAACGGAAGCCGGGTGGTGGTGGCGCACGCCTTTAATCCCAGCACCCCAGAGGCAGAGGCAGGCGGATCTCTGTGAGTTCGAGACCAGCCTGGTCTACAGAGCTAGTTCCAGGATAGGCTCCAAAACCACAGAGACACCCTGTCTCGAAAAGCCAAAAAAAAAAAAAAAAAGAGAACAAACGGAATGCTTCCCCTAAGCACTGAACACATACCTAGCTTGTCTGACTCTCCATCTGTAAGCAGCTACGACTATAATAAATGGTTACCATAAGAACTAGAGGAGCAATGGCCATGGTATGTTAAACACAGTGATTACACAAACCACCACCTCGGAGCTGTTCGCTGAACTCAGTTTAACTTGGACAGGACAAAATAACTGCAGCCACAGAAAGGTGAGCGGAGAGTAAGGAAAATCCCTTAAACTGCGATTCTAATCTATACCCCACCACTGACTATGGTGATCTTGGCAAATGAATCAAAGCTCTGGTTCTGAATTACTTAATCTACATAAGGAGATCCTATAATCCACTCTAATCCACTCAAGAATGTTTGCTCAGTGGTTCCAATACTAAATAGATCTACTATTATGTAAGTCTTTAAAGACGTATTTGTTGCAGCCAGTGCCCCAGGGGGAACCGGATTAATGACATTTTAATTTCTACGTCCAAATCAATCTTTTAAGGATATGAACCTGATCTGCACAGTCTAGGAAAATAGTACATACTTAAAACAGTTTTCTTCATAGATGACACTCCATATCCTCCAAGCATCCGGCCCCTTGTAGCCTGTGTAGCGCTCAGGGTTAAGGAGTAAATCCACATACTCAGCATCAGGGGACTGTATGTCTGCAAAATAAAATGTATCACTAAATCTTACCTATTTCAGAACAACATTTTAGGATAAAGGAAAATAGGAAGAAACAAACAGCCACATTCACTGTTCGCAATAGTTGCAAAATCCTGATAAGTGGTAAGAAGAGGAATACGTGAGTTTTAGAGTTTAAGAAAACACGTGAGTGGATGCTCACAACTGCACAATGAGTCTGTTTCCATCCCCGCTAGCACGGCAGCTCATCACTGACTGGCGGGGATGAAGAGTCTGTTAGCAGGAGAGCAACTGCTAGCACAGGCGAAACCCTGGCTTTGATCCCTAGCAGGAGAAAAAGAAAAAATGGCTGCGCAGTGGTGGTGCAAGTCTTTAAGCCTTGTGGATCTCTGTGAGTCCAAGACCAGCCTGGTCTACAGAGTGAGTTTCAGGACAGCCAGAGCTACACAAAGAAACCCTATCTCGAAAAAAATAAAAATAAAATGAAAGAAAAAGTAAGACCAGAGATACATATGTCAAAACATCACACATATTCCACTACATAAAAAAAATTTTTTTTGAAAAAATTTAAAGTCCTTTTCCTTTTTAGCGGGGGTGAGTTTCGAGACAAGATCTCTTTACAAAGCCCTAGTGGTTCTGTGATTCAAGAGATGCACCTACTTCTACTCTGCCTCTGCCTCTGTCTGCCATGCTGAAATTAAAGGCATCCACCATCAATGCCCAGCTCTTTTTTTTTTAATATTTATTTATTATTTATACAGTGTTCTGCCTCCATGTGTTCCTGATCTCATTACAGATGGTTGTGAGCCACCATGTGGTTGCTGGGAATTGAACTCAGGACCTTTGGAAGAGCAGGCAGTGCTCTTAACCACTGAGCCATCTCTCCAGCCCAGTGCCCAGCTCTTTTCACTAACTTTTTAAAAGTTCAATAGTTCACTACTTAAGAGTCAGAAAAATTTCAAAATTCAGATTTAATTTTGCTTAGCCAATCCAGAGGTCAACAATTCAAATAGAAAAAGATACTAGAAAAAGAAGAATTAGATATCTTGATCAAACTCCTAATGTGTTCTAAGGTTGCCAGTTTCAGCACCAGCTTCAGACATGATGTCATGGTTCAATATTCTCAGCACCAAAAGCCACAAAGACCATCACCACAGAAAAGGCAAATGACCCAGAAGCATTTACAGAAGATGTTTTCCTCATTCCTACACTTTAGTTTCTTTTGCAAAATGCAAAAGAGAGAACTATAAATTACTTGATGCATAAAACTGCAAAACATTAAAAGGTAAATTTTTTTACAGAAAATTTTAATTTTTTTTTACTGTGGTAAAAATACCTATTATGAAATTAGCCATTTCTACCATATTCAGTGAACCGTGGGTACATTCACACTGCTGTATAATCATTGCCACTTTGTTTCCAAAACTTTTTCACAGCCCTAAACAGAAACTGTGACCATTTAACAATTAACTCTCCATATGCTATCCCAGACTGTCTACTAACCACCAATCCATTTTCTGTTGCTATGACTGCCTTTTCCAGACAATTCACAAGTGAGCCAAATCACACTTGTCTTTGTGTCTGCCACACAGAGCCATTTGCTGGAAGCTCACTCCTTCTTATGGCTCAGTGGTGTGTGTGTGTATCTGTATGACATGTATCTGTATGACACACACACAACACATTTCAACTATGTTTGCATCTGGTGACAGACACAGACTATTTTCACCTGTGCCTCTTCTGAATGAACATTGGTCTACCTTTGCCTGAGTTTTTCTCGGTTCTTCTGAGTTACACACCAGGAATGCCACTGCTAAGCATACGAGTCGATGTTAAGCTTTCTGAGGATGCTTCACACTGTCAGGACTGAGATTTTAAAATTAACTGAAAAGAACTGAGGGGCGGCATCTGGAGCAGCTCTGGTGAATGATTTGCCTAGCACATCCAAAGCCTGAGTTCAATGCTGAATACAACAACTAAAGGAAGGGAAGGAGAGGGGAAGGGAGGGGAGGAGAGGGGAGGGAGAGGGAGGGGAAAGGGGAGGGAAGAAGAAGGAGCAGGCAGGCTGGTTTTCTCTTAAGGCATCACCAGGAACAAACATCATACCGTCAACTTCACAGAAGCTGTCTGAAGAATCATCATGCTTGGTCCACTGAAGAACAGCCTTCTGGGTTTCCTCACTTCAAATAAGGAAAATTGCATTATTCCTTTTTCCAGTCAGCTGTGATGAAGAAAAACAAAATACCTGAAGATCAAATCACCTCAGAGATTCGTCCACCGCGCCAAGCCGCTCAGCTTGCTCACATTCTTCAATGAGGTTAGCTTCTTCAGAGTACTGAACAGGGCAAAGACAAACAGATTGGCCACATTTTAAAACTGCTGCTTTGCTTTTGTTTTTGAGACAGGGTCACATACTTTTAAATTTCCCTTCTTTCTTTAACCTCTCGAATGCTGGACTACAGACATGAGCCACACGACCTTAAATATTGTTCAGGCATTAAAGTCAGTCAAGACTCCTGTTCCATACCACTATCAACCCAGCTTCAAAGCCTGTAAAATGAGCCCTGTCCGTGTAGCCCTGGCTGTCCTGAAACTCGCACTGTAGACCAGGTTGCCTTCAAACTCAGAGACCCACCTGCTTCTGCCTCCCCTGGCATAAAATGAGCTGTTAGATCCAAAGTGGGTGAAAGGCTTCTTGTCTTTAGTTTTTGTCAGAAGCACAATTTACTATTATGTTCAGGAAATAAAGAACATGGCAGTGACAAACAGTGACTAAGATGTGCACCAGGAAGAGTTTCTGAGGTCCATGGAAGGCAAGTCCCAGTGCCCTGACTGTAAGCACCGGCCACCTGACCGTGGTGGCCATCCTAGATGGTGTGTGTCTCAGCTCCTTCCCACACATAACTGGAAGAGCACCTTACAGAGAGTGTGCTAGAGCTGTGGGCATTTAAAACACACGCTTTACCTATTCGGTTTCTTCTTGATGTCTACACATGCACACACACATTTTTTTCTAGTAGGTCCTGTGCATAGCACAGACCAAGCTTGAGTCTTGATAACACCACCACTAGCCGGTAAGACTGGAATCAGGAGGCCACAAATGTTTGCTATACCTACAATAGTCTTGTTAGGATGACCATAAGAATTTCTGTCCATGCTAGGATCCTGAAAGAACTGAAATGACTAAGCTTTTAGGGAACATTAAATAAATGAAGTGCTCAGATTTTTTTTGAAATATTTATTGACTGACAACAGTGCTTCATTTTATTAGTTAATATATAAACAGTTCACCTTTAAAAAAAACTTCTTGAAACTCAAGTCTTTTATACACAGTTAAATAAGAAAGAGTAGAGATACATCCTACCTGACCTGCAACCAAACAGCTCAGAATATCTACACAGAAAAAGTATGACAAAACAAAGGTGCTAAAATATATTTAAAAAAAATCAAGGACTATAGTATACAATTTTTTTTTTATGTGTGGGTGCCCACATGTGGCTCAGTCTCCATCGGGAGTCCATTCTGACTTATAAGTCATTTGAGTTCAAGTTTGCCTGCTCTGCTCTTTCCAATAACCTTGAGGGCTGTGAGAAACTCCTGAGTAAGCTCATGGGAAAGAGCATTTTAATCCATGGGAAAGAAAACCTTATTTATTAAGACTTGGGCTGAAAAACAAAAAACAAAAACAAGGGGCTGGAGAGATGGCTCAATGGTTATGAGCACTGGCTGCTCTTCTAGAGGTCCTGAGTTCAATTCCCAGCAACCACATGGTGGCTCACAACCATCTGTAATGGGGTCTGGTGCCCTCTTCTGGCCTGAAGGCATACACACAGACAGAATATTGTATACATAATAAATAATAAATAAATATTTAAAAAAAAAAAACGTATAAAAGCCAGGCAGGGTGGCACACGCCTTTAATCCCAGTACTCGGGAGACAGAGACAGGTGGACCTCTGTGAGTTTGAAGCCAGCCTGGTCTACAAGAGCTAGTTAAGCTAGTTCCAGGACAGACTTCAAAGCTACAGAGAAACTCTGTCTCAAAAAAAAAACAAAAACAAAAGGCCTTGATCTGGTGTAGGCCAGCACATCCAGCTAAGGACAGTGCAGAGGTGGTCAGCTGACTGTACTGCTCTTTGTTCTGCCTTCAGCCTCTAATCTGTATAAAAGCAAGTTCTGAAATAAACTCGGGGCCGGCTGATATTCACCTTCAGTCCCCCGATCTATCCTGTGTTTCTGTCTCTGTTGCTCAATCTGCCATTTCCTCAACCGCGTGCCTCCCTCCCAGGTAATCCCTGCTGATTCCTGCCAGAGTGAGCTCCAACATTTGTTATTCTTATAATTTTGCTGTCAGTTGGAAATTATTTCAGATGAGGTTTGTCATGGTCAAGGGTATGGCCATAGACTGAAAATTATATCAAATAAAATTTCAAATGAACATCAAAGGCCCTGGGAGATGTCCAACAAGTAGACACACTTGTCACGCAAGCCTGATGACGGGGGCTTACTCCCCAGAGCCCATGTAAGAAGCCAGGTGCAAGGGGATCTATAATCGCAGCATGCCTAGAAACTCAAGAACCAGCTAGCCTGGAAGACAGTGCCCCGTTTGCAGAAACGAGAGGCCCTATCTACATACATACAAACACAGACAAAACAATATGCTTTTTTTTTAAAATATTTATTTATTTATTTATTATGTATACAATGTTCTGTCTGTGTGTATGCCTGCAGGCCAGAAGAGGGCACCAGACCCCATTATAGATGGTTGTGAGCCACCATGTGGTTGCTGGGAATTGAACTCAAGACGTTTGGAAGAACAAGCAATGCTCTTAACCTCTGAGCCATCTCTCCAGCCCACAATATGCTTTTTAAATTTATTCAAAAAATGTATCATATGTCTATGTATATATACTAAAACAAAAACTTAAACCCTTATCTGAATTTTTTTAGTTGAAGTAACTTCTTAGTACCATTTAGTAATTTAATCAGCTTCTTAATTACATTTATCACTTTACTAGGTCTAAAGAACATTTTTTCCAAGTTTACTATTTTAAATTTTCTATAAAACTAATCACAATCATCTTCAAAACTATACATTATGATTAATCTATTTGAAATTACCAATAACCTCAGCTGACTACTCTGTAGACACTTTCTAACTCTGAAAATACTCATTATATATAAATATGTGTGATGTCTTAACCCAAATGTTTCGTTAAGTTCTAGTCTTTGGCCTGGCCTTTAATCCCAGCACTTGGGAGGCAGAGGCAGGCGGATCTCTGAGTTTGAGTCCAGCCTGTTCTAGTTTTTGAGAAAATTCTGAATGGCATTTAACTTAATTCTGAAATGCTCTAGTTTTGCATCACTCTTAAAAATGATTTATCTGGGGCTGGAGAGATGGCTCAGCGGTTAAGAGCATTGCCTGCTCTTCCAAAGGTCCTGAGTTCAATTCCCAGCAACCACATGGTGGCTCACAACCATCTGTAATGAGGTCTGGTGCCCTCTTCTGGCCAGCAGGCATACACAGAGAAAGAATATTGTATACATAATAAATAAATATTTAAAAAAAAATAAATGAATAAAAGAATGACACAGAAATAACACAAAGATCAAAAAAAGACCGGCAAACCAGAGAGAGCCAGTCACAAACGGAAAAACAGAAAAACTTGAGCTTGAAGCTAAACATCCCAGGAGCTCAGTGCCAAGGTGAAAAGAAACCTACAGGACATGGCTAAGCACTGTTGCTTTGGGGACGCTCTCACTTCATCTTCTACTGTCTCTCCCGGGTGCTTCCAGAACATTCCACAGATAACGCAGTATGAGAACCCCTCACTTTCCTGTCTGTATCTCGCCAACTAGATATAAAATCCTTAAGGTAAAAAGGTGTTTGTTCATCTGTGACCCCAGCCTGCAGCCCTATGCTTCTGCAGATGACACAGAAGACCTCAATGACCACTCAGGGAGTGGGGTGGGGTGTGTGAATGAATGACAGCTGCCCATTGTTTCTGAGACACACCTCACTGTCTACACATGAGCTTGGTGTCCCAAGCTCAAGCGCACATCTGGCAGTGGCACACTCACAACCAAGGAATACAGGCAATGAGGACAACCTTCTGTACCCCACCTGCTGTCTACTCACATGGCATTCTAAAGTGCACCAGAGGAAGCGCCAAGCCAGGAAAGAATGCAAGATCCCCAGAGTTGAGGTGGCACACAGCCAGGAGACTACAGAAGGTCAGGAGGCACACACATGGGAGGCTTCTAAGCTTCTGCCTTTTACCCTTCATGTGAAATTGGCCGTATTCTCCACACAACCACAGGGAGCAGGGTGACTAAGGACACAAAATAAAAATGATAGGGTTTCAACAGACTCAAGAGCTCAGTGAATTCAGAGGCACTTGGAAATCAGCCAGGGGACAAACAGCGGAACTGCGCCGGCCGGGGGCGGGGCGGTGGGGGCTGCGTAGAACGCCATTCTTGGAAGAAGTCTCACAAAAGTGTGATGCCAGCCTAGTTCTAGAAACTAGAGAACAATAGGCATGTTGCCAAATCAGTCACAAGAAAGGGTTATGGCAGAAATGCCACCAATAGAACCCACAGATTCTTTTTTAAAAAATATTTATTTATTATTTATTATGTATACAATAGTCTATCTGTGTATATGCCAAAGGCCAGAAGAGGGCACCAGACATTATTACAGATGGTTGTGAGCCACCATGTGGTTGCTGGGAATTGAACCTTTGGAAGAGCAGGCAATGCTCTTAACCACTGAGCCATCTCTCCAGCCCCCAAACCCACAGATTCTTAAAAACAAATGAAAATCCTAGAACAAGAGACAGGTGCTAGATGCAACAAGCTCGGCCTGATGCTATGCTTCAGACATCTGCTGCTCAGGGTAACCATGACACTATTCCCACTGCAAAACACAACTCCGTGTGACCCGGGAACCTAAACTTGACAATAAAAATGCACCCTGCTCCCCTCCCTAAGTGGTTAACATCTACCAAAATTTGAAGTGCATTGCCCTAGACTTCAAGTGATAGCCAGCTTTGGGAAGGAGCCAAACTAATAACAGAAGGTAAAAAGGTCCGCACTGGCATACTATAGGTGTTGCAAGATGTTTGATTTCACTGTGTAATAAGTAATAAATAAACTGACCGGCCAATAGCTAGGCAGGATTACCAGGCACAAAGAGGACGCTGGGAAGAAAGGAAGAAGTATGGACAGTCTGTAGATAAGGTAAAAAGCCTCGGGGAAGCATGTAGATGAACAGAAGTGGGTTAATTTATAAGAGCTAACGAAAAACAAGCCTAAGCTATCAGCCAAGGTTTCATAATTAATAATAATAAGTCTCCTTGTCATGATTTAGGAGCTGGCTGGTGGGACAGAGAAAGACAAGTAGACAGACAGTAGACAGACAGAAGGACCTATGCACACAGTCTAGTCTGTGAGCGCTGCAAAGCCTCTCGTGCCTGTGGCAAGCTCCCAAAGGGCAGCCCCCCCATAGCCACCAAGCTCTGCAGTTAG